ACATTGAATTATAGTTGCATTCGTTTATAGAACATAGTATACAAAGCGATTCAGTTATGCCCGGTACTCGAAGAGTAAATAGGGTATATTGTATTTGTGCACACAGTGGATGTATGTAAATGATGTAAAATGGTGTGGGGATGTTTTAAATGGTGGTACGATGGCCATACTTGGCCATCTAGAACAACATTGATAGTATTATGCGAAAAGAGCATTTTTGGGCCTTAGAAAGTTCTTGTTCCTAATTTGCAACATTATAAGTCCAGCTTTTGGGTCTGTTAGCGCCTTAGGGCGACCTTGGCTTTGCTTTTCCGGGACAAAATGTCGCATCTTTTCCACTCAGATCACCACCGATTCGCTAATGCCAATGTTTTCAGCCTTATTGGATGTCGTATAGCCATTTTCAGTGAGCTACACTGTAATATTTAAAATTTCTAGATATTGTTTTTTCAGTCTCAGGTACAACATAGACACTATTTAATAAATTCATCAAATCTGCTTCGATTAATATGAGAAATGTTTTAATTTGATGGTAGTATTACTAGAATATACAAAAAAAATATTTAACATCAATTCTGTTAGCGTATTATTGATTAGAAAATTTAGAAATATAAAATAACGAAAAGTGCACAAATGAGTACATTCGAGTTATTTTAGTTTTTTTATTTTTTGCTATTTAAAAGCTTCACGTTTGTATTTTTCTGGGATTGTCTATTTGTTAAAGATAAAGTGATTGATATCTAGAAAAAAATTGGAAAAGTTTGCATTATACGTTTAGAAGTTAGGGGCGACAAAATTCAGTAATTGTGAACATGTACTCAACATTGCTCCCCACTGTAAAATTTGACAAATAACCGCTAAGGTGCAGATGTAGTATTGAGTGCCGGGTATAAAAGTTGTGACGCGTAAGACTCGTCACACACGTCTATTCTCGTTTTAATTTTTATGTCCGATAGAAGGTTAGTTCCACATGTTGAAAACACGTTGAAACTTCGAAAATTCAGAATCAGTCAAATAAAACTGAAGTATGTTGCATTCTATAATTTCTAAGCTACATATAAGCTCGGAGCATTCAAACATTCCTAAAAAATAAAGTTTAATTTAGATAGACTTTATGGCTATTATTTCATTCCTGCCGTCAAATTAAACCATATACAAACTCATAACCGATTGACATCTGTAAAATCATAACAATCCCACCTTCAACTTTGCAAAAAGTTTATTTAAAACGCATTAAAACATGTTCTCTGGCAGAAATATTATACAAAGCCATACAGAAAGATAACTTAAAGTCACAAATACAAATATACATATATATGTACATACATATGTGTACGTTTGTATTACACAATGTGTTTATAGATCGACTGCAAAATGGGAATTTTTGCATAATGACGACGATGCCTCCCCACGTTGAGTTCGAGTGACTTTATAAACACAAATCGAGCGAGACAATCGATTCGAATCTGGCAGCAAGTTTTGCGGTTTTCCCACGAACTTTTGTTGATGTTTGCTCAAGTGATTTAGAGTTTTGTGGAGAGATCTCTAGATCTCTCTGTCTAAAATGTCACCATAAAAAATCCTTTGGTTCTCAAGTCGGGGTTGACCCACTTCGCGCAAGCCGTTCATTCGATAAAACAGGAATCGAAAATAATTACACAAGCAGGAAAATGCAAAAACTTAGACTGTTAACAAATTATTAGACCAAAACCCAGTGCCGTGCACAGGAGAAAAATATTATACCAAGCTACAAAATTGAGGAAGGTTAGGGAAAATGCCCCAGGGAAAAGGTTTACCTATCTCTTAAGGGAGTTGGTCTATAAATGATATTTAAATAATTAACCTAATAAAACATTAATAAACAAATAGCATATAAATCATTAAGGAAATTAGAAATCATTAGAAAACTATTCCACACTCTTTTTATACCCGGTATAGGGTATTGTGTTTTTACACAGAAGGAAATTATTGTTTGGTTTCTCATGCAGTGTGCGTCACTGGGGGACGGTTGCACGCTAAAAGAGTGTGTTGGCGTGAGAAGTGATGTAGATGTAGATGACATAAGTAGAAACGAGATGGAAAGTGTGACACGCTTCTTAAGCGTCTCAACTTTTATACCCGGTACTCAGTAGAGTACATTTTACATTTTTTTCAACAGCTGTAATCTACATCTACATCACTTCTCACGCCAACACACCTCCCCTAGAGCCCATGAGAGAATGTGCAATAAAACTGCTGGGTTAAGAAACTTCAAATTAATTTTTTCAATGTGGATATAATAATGATCCAATCGGATCCAAACTAAGTGATCTGATAGAAATATGGTCATTCCCTACAGAATGGCGTTTAGGTTTCTTTTATCTTCAAAATTGTAGATACAGCAGATTTTTTCCCATTTACTCTTTGAGTACCGGGTATAAATGTATAACGTAAAAATCGAAAAAAAAACGAATGAGGTACAGAAAATTTGACTGAGTACAGGGTGTAAAAGTTTTGACGCGGACGAGGTGTCTCACACGTCCCTTCTCGTTTTTTATAGATCTTAGTCTTAAGCATTCATTAAAGCTCCTAAAAAATGTACATACTGAACACTAAATATCTAAACATCTACTGAACATGTAAAGAAATGAGCAAACCAAAATTCCATAATTAATTCCATTCTCCAATTCCTACACAAAAATTGTTGTTTAGTGCAATACCGCCACAAGGTTGCTGCAACGGCGGCTTCCCAACTAAACATTTCATTAGAGCAGAAAATCAGAAAACATGAATTATAATGAACAACAAAGGTAACAGCAAAAAAACTACATAAAAGCTTCAAAATTTGCATAAACAAAAACGAAACCAAAGTGAAACAGTAGGCGTGGCGCGTGGCCAATGGAAAATAAAGAGAAAAAAAACACAGCTTGAGACTCCGGAGATCAATTAATGTGCATTGAGACCCCACCTAAGTCGTAAGTTGTAGGATTTCCAGACATTTCAAGGCATTCACTTTTGCGGTTACTTCCTGCTCGCCTCAACGGCTACAGTTCCTCACTGTTGAAAGTTGTGAAAACTTTAGGGAACAATCTATTGCATAGTGTCTCTGAAAGACTGGGATTAAGTCCGGGACTGAATCTGAGAATTGTGGTTAAGCAATTCACGAATTTCGCAAACGATGCCCCAAAGAGACACAAAAAAAAAGTGAAGAAAGACCCAACAAAATGTATCTATATTTGCAATTGAGTAAAGAGTTTTTTTGTACTCAGCAATTGAAGTGTGGAGGGGATGTCTGTATAGGGCCGATACATATGTATGTACAATTAAATTTTCGTTTTTGTAGAGGATTTTCTGTAGATTAAATCTTTGGAGTAGTTGGGTTGTCTAAAAATGATGGGTGATCAATTTAAGTTCAGTATCATCGATCAACACAAAATCATAAAAAGTACATAATAATAAGATTTGAAAAATATGTTCTTAAAATCTGAGACTAGTCTCAATTGAGTTGAAATTCTCATCCTATTGTCAAGAGCCTTTCCCTAAACTAAATACAAGCTTTATCCCACCTAAAGAATTATAATTATTTACTCACCACTCGGTATTCCCTAGTCGTAATCTACACAAACCCACCAGTTATTTATTTTTTTGTTTATCTGTTTGTAGGAGTTTTTGGTTTCCCACTAAATTTAAAAGTCTGCTATTGCGACTGCAATTGCGGAGTAGCGTCTCACCATTTCCAAATTTTGTCTCTCAGACTTTTGCGAAAACCGAATGTTAATGAATCTGAAAATGTGTGCTGTGCTGTGGTTCGTGGTTGGGCCTGACTTTAGTTATACGCGCATCAAATGGAGATTCATTCGTCTCTCTGAGTCACAGAGTGGAGGAAAGTGAAAGTCCATTAGACATCTGGAGTGCTGTGCAAAATAAAAACAGACCAGACCCAAGCGAACGGATTTTGCCTTTTGTTCGAATTTGGTGCGTTTCACACGCAAGTTTATTACACTTTCAACTTTGACTCGCTGGCGCAAAAAATATAATGCCAAGAGAAAAAAAAAACATAACGAAATTGTAAAACGAATTCGGGGCGAGTTACATGACAGAGCCAGCAGAGGCAGCGAAAGGTGTGAAAAGTTTAGAGTTGACTTAGAAACTGGCAGTATGGCGTGAAGTCTGGTCTCTTAGAGAGCGTGTGCAACTGAAATTGCCTGAATAGTGCTTTGAAACCCATTAGCTTAAATCCATTTAGTGATTTTATAGAGTTTCTTCAACAGTCGATTGAGTTTAGGATTGTGATGCAATACAACAAAGTGCAAGCCAAAGCTTTTATAGTAGGACTAACCAATGCAAAGAATCTACAGTTGATCAAGAATGTTGTGACAAAGCTTTCGACTGGTTCCTTTTGCTATCCTCTCGTGAATTCCTCCTATGAATACTCTTTAGTGCACTCTTCACCCCATTTTTATTGTTGTCCTAGACCCCGTTTATCTCTGATTGCATTCGTCACCGTGTCCAAAGAGCCTTCTCTAGATAATGAGCCAAAAAGAAACCCTAAGCCAGTGACATTGTAAGCGATAAGGTCTTATCGCTGACCAGCAGCGATTGTAGTCGCCACCCCCCAAAAAAAGTAGATGTTTTCCTTCTTGTTATATGCAAACAAATCAATATACAACACTGACGATCAGTTTGGTGTTTCAGTTTGGCGTGGAATGGTGGGGCGTAACCAGTCGGCCGGCTCTTCAATGTGGTAAGAGATCATTGAGAATGATGCCGGGGATAACGCGCGAACTTTTGTTTTTCCCTATTTTCGAAATATTTATGCGTTGGGGATTTACTATATGGGGATTCGCGACTGCAATCGCACAAGACGACGACTCGGCCGGCTGCGACGCTGCGTTGAAAAAATTGTAAATAAAATCAGAAACAAAAGAATTATGATCGTGTGTCGCCGAGTATCATCATCGCTGACGCCTCCTCCCGAATGAGTCTGAGCCTTTTTTTCTGCTTTTGCCAGTACTCAAACGAATCCCAGACGCTGCTGCGATCGGTCGGTTGGTCGAACGGTGTGGTTAGCGGTAGGTGTGTCGGTTGAGTGGATCGTTTGTGTCGCGGGGCACCCTTACGTTTTAGCACTTTTACCGCTTAAACAGTCGCCCGTTAGCACATGTACTAAAAAAAGCACGAAGCACACGGCAGAAAAATTGGCAACAAGATTACAGAGCCACGTTAGTACGGGAACCGCGAAGCGTAGCGACGACCCTCTAGTTTCCGGCGATTGCCATTCGACGACGACGTGCCGCTGTTTTGTTTTTTGTGTTAAGAGAATCGCCTTATCACACACGGCCAACGGCACCGCACCGCACGATTATTATTTTGGTTTACTATTATAACATTTTTCAGTGTGTTTTTTCTGTGTGTTTTCCATACACACAAAATGTGCACTCCACGATAACCATACCCTATATAAAATATATACAACTATATATATATATATATAACGACATTTGACTCTCTTGGCTGTAATTGCACATTGAGCTAAATACGAAATTCAGTTAGTGCCTTGGTGTTAAAAACGTTTTAGGTTTTTAGCACAACGTTTAAGGGATTACAACAAACGAACGAGCAGTTTCTCAACGACCACAGGTGAGAGCAGAGATGGGGGAGGCTCCATTGAAGGTTCTTATAAAGAAGGGTGCGGCCTGGTAAATTGATAATTAAGAAAAGTAAACATTTGTTTACACACACCACACAAGATAAGGTTTTAGAAACTGGCGGCGAACTGCAAATATAATGGATTTTTTTTCGATTCGATTTATTGGCACAAAAAACTAAAAGTCTACTATGAATGTGGGTGGTAAAATGATTTAATTAAGGGTTTCACAACGTGATTTTAATGTTTTATTCTTTGTAGAAAAGAATCCTTGATGTTGTAAAAGTTTGAATGTAGGATTAAAAAACTCAATTATATTTTAGTTTTTACATATCTATAAAAAGTGGTGAAAAAAAATTAATATACTTCAAAAAGTGTTAAAAAAACACTGAGGATCTAAGCTGTTAAAGGTTTCTTTTAAACATTGCCTACTTGATTTAAACCTAATATTTTTCAAAGGAAATGACGATAGGAAAGTCTTGAAGGTGAAGTGTACTTAATGAGTTTATAGATTTTAGATTGAAAGGAAACTTTTTCCGTTTTCTTACAATGATTTCACTCTTTTCCATACTAGTACTAAAACATATGCATTAAGACTTTAAATTACACTAAAAAGATAAATGTTTTGTTCGAATTTGCAACAATTTCTTTGCTGTTTTAGGTCTAATTTGGTCCCAAGGTCTAATTTGTGCCAAAACTTTTGGAAATGCCATGAGCTAACTGTGCTAATTCCACCTTAAGACCCTACCTATGCACATACATTGTATATATTCGTACATTTATTTACTTGCCTACTTAGGCATATTACGAAAAATATCGCAACGTAGAGCCCCCTTTGATATGTAATTATACAACGGAATGACTCATCAATCAGGCCAAAAGCAAGCGTGTCCCTTACAGATGTACATATATCCGATATTCCATTTGAGCTTTTTATTCCCGGTACTTGAAGAGAAAATGGGGTATATTGTTTTTGTGCTCGAAAGTCGATGTAAATTTGTAACGCATAGACGAAAAAGTTTCCGACCCCAAAAAGTATATAAATATATTCTTGATCAGCATCACTAGCCGAGTCGATATAGCCACGTCTGGACAGACAGACGTCCGTCTGTCCGTCCGTCCATCAGTCTGGATGAAGATAAAAGAAAACTAAGAACTCCATTCGGTAGGGAATGACCATATCTATCATATCATATGCCGAATTGGGATCAGTTTGGATCAATATTATATCCAGAATGAAGAAAATAATTTGCAGTGGTTTCATTTTAGTTTTGTCTTGTTTCTGATTTTGGTAATTTCTGCTTGCTTAGCTATAGCTTAGCTTAGTCTAGTTATGATTAGATCTAATTTTCCTCGAATATTAGCCTAACATCTATCTTTCCTGCATGCTCGCGACTGGTTCGGTTAATCGCGCCGCGCGTCATGCGGCAGTGCCCCTCGGTCGGTTGGGCGGGAGGAGGGCTGCGTTCTGCTAGGTTCCGCGCGTAACAGGCTTTGGCTTGGTGTCGCATGGGCCACTTGATGGTGCAGTCATTGCATATCAACGTCCAGAATTAATCAATCCCGTGCAGAAGTTTTTTTTTTTTAATTTTGAACATTTTCTCTCACTCTGCTTCGTGAACTGTTTTGGTGTAAAAAGTAATGTAGACTTAGGTGTGTTTAGATTTCGATTTAGAAGAACCAGGGTATATACGTTGTGACGCGTAAGAAGCTTTTCACAAGTCCCTTTTCGTTTTTGCTGTGTTGTGTTTTGTGTTTATGAAAGGCCAAACCGAAAAGCAAACGGGCAAGAAATTGAACAAAACCCGAAACGAAACCAAAATAAACAGAGTATCGGAAGGGGCTGTGTGTAAAAGATGATCGTACAATGCGTGGCCACGCGGGCTAAGAGGGCGATCGCTGGCCATCGCAGGCGGTGCGGACAAGAGGGGCAGAATTAAGCAATTTATAACTGCATATTTCTGAGGCATATAGGGCAGACGGCACGGGGCGCATGAACTGGTGGATCTTTTGCAATTACTCGTAAGATCAACGGCGGCTTGGTACAGGCCAAGGAAAGCCAGATGGCTACAGGCCCCATAGTTTTCTCCCTCCTAGATTTCCGCAATGTTCTATAGCTCCACGCACTCTCTGTGGTTTTTGTACCTATCTTATAAAATAATTTATGCTTTTCTAAGAACATTCTCTCCTGGCCTAGCCTGCCCTTCTATCAGAGCGTAGCCAAATGTTGTGCCGCGGTGGTTGAGGTTTTTCGTTTTGGTTGGGGTTTTTTAAGCATTTTATTTATAGAGGAGTCTGAAATGTGACGCATTTCGTTTAACGTTGGCATGTGAACTTATTTTCTTTTTTTTTCTTTTTTGTTTATCTCTTTCTCGGCCTTCTTTTTTTATTCGAAGCGAAATGTGAATGACTTGTATGGTACAAGTGTCAATGTTTCAATTGATCCAAGCCCTGAGAATAGTAGAGTGTCTCTCATGCTACAGATCTGTGAAGGTACAAGCAAAGTTTGTGTCACGGGAAAGACAGTCTCGAGTTCTGTAGACCTTTGCAGGCGTGCCAGGACTTATTAGGACATTGGGAAGGGATGTGATCATACGAAGTACAGCAGGGAGAGAAAGAGTGTATGAGGTTCTTCTCTCTCGTTCTGTCAATCTTCAAAAACATAGGACAGGACAGCTTATATAAAAGTTCATTCCACCGTTCTTCCAAGCTATTTATTTCATGCCAAAATGTGTACTGTCTCTACCGATCTACGAGGGCAACCATATACCATGCCTGACTCTTGTTTTTATTCATGTTTTTTTTTGCAGGCTCCAAAGTTCACATCCAATGAGGGGGGCTTAGTTACTCCACCTTTTGATGGATGCGTTGAGCAAAGCCCAAAAGCAAACAACTTCCGATTTATAATTATCTGGGTGCTCCACATAATACAGGGTGTCTTGTCGGTAGATTTGTCCACAGTAACTTTCCTACGCTAACATTGTAGTTGTAGTTCCCCCCGTATCTTATCGGTGGGCGTATATTTTACAATTAATTTGTTGTTGGTGCTTGCAGAATCTACTAGAACATGTACTAAACAAAAGAATATATTCCTTTGGTCTTGTCTGGTATATCTAGCTACTTAAGTACTCCATATATCTCTCTATCTATCTGTGTTCGAGCACTCCATATAGACATGAAGGCATATTCCCTGGGCGATAAGCCACGAGATAAATGATTGATGTCACGCTCTCAAGGCACTTGTGCACCCCTTTCTTCGGATGACACCCCCTCTATTTATTCTCCTTGGGTTTCTTGGACAGCTGTCAAAGTTTCTATTTACATGCCAAAACATCTAAATATGGTAGCTTCTCATCTGCATGATTAATTAGAGTGATATTTCTTGCATATACTTGACTTATGACAAGACACGAGTCTTTCTGTCTTTCTTTCTGTGAGTCAGCGGCGGAGGAAAGTGGCGCGAAGAAAGTGAAAACTATTTCCGCAAAGGGAATATAGAGCTACGATGAATGCGTTCTTAACCAGCGCTAAAGTGTTAGATGAAAAGATTCAGCTGCTGTTGTCGTCAGTGGGTTTCCGCTTTCTGCATATGTTTACGCAGAGGGTGCTAAATATGTGTACTAAATGTGTTTAGATCTATAAATCATCTATAGATCAAAGCAATGAATGTGGGAAGGAGCTAGTTTTTAGGTGAAAGTTATCTTCTAGTGTTTGATTTTGTCTAGTGTTATGAAAAGACTTTAGTAATGTTTTCTTATGTGAAATAAATGAGCTGCGATATTATTTTTAATGTTAAGGCAATAATGATCTAAAGTTTATTACAGATGTTATATTGACTCTGAATCCTTAGTATTTATCTCGGTAAACACCTGCATGTTCGAATAATATTTTTGAAGGTTTTTAGAGCTCTTAATCTCGATACTAAATGGATATCCCATCGGTCTAAATAAAAATGTTGTGTTTAAGAGCCGTAAAAATCAGTGCTAAAAGCTTTCCCTAACGATCTAAATGATTATTCGAGTTGCAGAGTTGCATTTAGCCTATTCATTGCACCTGTGGAACGTTGTGTGGTCCGCCCCGTTATGGAGCCCGTCATGTGTGGGTGTCTTTAATTGCAGCCTCCCTGCCTCGCCTACGGCCAGGCAATGGTAATAAGCAATTCTATAATTTCTGTAAAAGTACAGGCGTAGTTCGCCTTGCACACGGCAAAAATTATAAATATAAATCAAAAATAGTTGCCCGGAACACCCCACCAATGCAGCTGGCAGCTGGGATCCAGTGGGCGAACCAACCGCATCGAGTGGGGAACAAACAAATGTATGAAAATTGCAACAACAAAAATCACAAATTGAATTGTGCAAATATTGCCTCCAGTTGCAGTTTATAATTTATAGATTTTTACATTTCAGGCTGATTTTTCGATTCTGTGCTATGAATGCTGATAACCCAGATTCCGAATCCCAATTCAATGTCATAAGGGCGGGGGCCACGTCTGGAGTCTGGGAGCTGAAATTATGCCCCAATGTAAACAGGGAGCAGCAACAAATATTTGCGCTAACGTCACTGGGGCATCCGTGTGTGCGTAACGCGTATTTATTTCACAATTCCGAGCAATGTAAACTTCAGGGGATATTTATAAACAGATTGGAAACACAACACAAAAACACACACATTTCACAACACCATCCAAGCAGCAGAAAAAGGCACACCAAAAAGAACAGTTTCTTTAAAAAAAAAGAGAAGGGTTGTGTGAGACGCTTCTAACGCGTCAAAACTTTTATACCCGGCACTCAGTACAACATCTGTACCTTAGTGGTTATATGTCAAATTATATATTTTTTCTTCATCTGTCATCTACATCTTTAACACTTCTCAAGCCACCACGCTCCGTAAGCTCGACCCCCTTCCCTAGACCCACACACTGCAAAAAAACAAATATAAGCTGCGGGACGGGGTGGGTTAAAAATCGGAAGAGGCAGAGGCAGAGGCAGAGGCCGCATAATGCAGAAGCAGAGTGTGAATGAGAGAATTTGAAAAAAACAAATATAAGCTGCGGGACGGGGTGGGTTAAGCCACTGGAAATTTATTTCTTCATTGGGGCATAATAATGATCCAATCAAATCCCAATTTGTTGATCTGATAGATATGGTCATTCCCTGCGGAATGGCGTTTTTAGTTTTTTTCAGTATCTTTAGTATCTCCATAATTGTAGATTTGGGAGGTTTTCGCCTTTTTGCGGGGGCGGAAGGGGGCGTGGCTCATTTTTGAAACACACGTGTAACAGTGTGAGCATATAGAAGTCTGGATGCAAAATTTGGTGGCTCTAGCTTTTATAGTCTCTGAGATCCAGGCGCTCGACAAGACGGACGGACAGACATGGCTCAATCGACTTGGCTATTGATGCTGATCAAGAATATATATACTTTATGGGTTCAGAAACGTTTCCTTCTGTGCGTTACATACAACCGTTATTCCCCACAAATACAATATACCCTATTTACTCTTCGAGTACCGGGTATACAAAATATTTCAATTTTATATTGAAATTCAATGCCCAACCATAATATGATTCCAGTGCATTGGCAGGAGGCAGGGGCAAGAGATTACCTATCCAAATGTTATTGCAATCGATTAAGTGAGTATCCCTTACATTAAAGTACAATTCAGAAATAGTTATCGAGGCCAGAGAACACTTGCATTGATGAGAGATTAAGCAGAAACCATTAAATGGAGAGAAAAATCAGAAATCAATTAGCACTTGAGGGAAGGCATTTAGTATTGGGTTTTAAAATTTGTATCTGTTTAGAGTTGTATAAGTAATGAACACAGCTGTTTCGGAACATTAAATATGTGTGATTTTTAAGGTAGAAAAAATGTTAGTGGTACAAAAAAACTTAAAGCTATTGCCATAAGTTAATATTGAAATACTTCAGCGTTACCAATCAAAAACTTTGCGACAAATTGTCAATGCTCCGTTTTACGTATCTAATGCAAACATCCACAAAGATCTGAATATTCCAACCATTAAAGAAGAAATAAAGAAAACTAGTAAGAAATACATCGACAGACTCCACAACCACGAAAATAATTTAGCCTTAAGTCTATTAGACAATAGCCTAACAGTAAGAAGACTGAAAAGATACCACATTCTCGATATCCCTGATAGATAAATTTAACAAACTAAAAAGATGTTATATATAATAGCAGGGCTCATTGGAAAACTGCTATTTCTGTTAATTGAATATTAATTATACAATTTACTTATTGTTTAAAAACAGATTGTAAATATAAAGAGAGAGAAAAAAAAAAAATAAAAAAAAATAAGTTAATCCAAAGTTAGTTTACAAATTTTGGAAACCAATTAAGTACAATGTTTCAAACCTCTAAATACCTTCAAATCGGTTAATTAATGACTAAAAATGCTAAGGAACGGCATGCAGGGGCCTAATTAGTAAATATTCGAGTTGTACAGGAGTTGATTTAGTTTAAATCTTATAATTAGGGTTATTTCTTCAAAGATATATGAAAACTTTCCAAATGTGTCTAAATGATTTATTTAATAACGATTTCAAGCTGTAGCTGAGCTAAAGATATCCCAAAGAGGTTTAATTTGTATACATCCGAAAATGTAGAGCTATTTAAAGCTGAAAATAGTTTAAAAATATCCCCAACATATACTTATCGAAATTATATTACTTTACGGGTCTCTTTTTAACTCTATTTCCATTCATACATACAAATATGACTCTGAATTCTTATCGCAAAAAACAGAACTAACTCTCTTCTCTTTGTTTTCCATCAGATATCGTTTTCGCTTATCGAAAATAGAACAAAATTCTGTACTCGAATGCTGCCACCGAATTGCAGAAATCGAAAACAACAAAGCAACGCAAACGGCAACGCGAATGGAAATGGGAAGGTGCTATTCAACAACATCAACGCTCCAGATGCACTCACACTCACAATCCGATTCACATTCGCATTCGCATTCACTGAAGAGAAACTGACCAAAAGGCGAACAAGCGTCGAACGAGAGAAACAGAAGCTACAAAATAGAAAACGAACCGATGTGATACTTGGAACTAGAAACAACTAAAGTATTGCAGTAAAAAACGTATTGAAATTTACAAAGACTTGAGTGCTAAAAAGACTTGCAAAAAAATAAACTCAGCAGAAGAAAACCCTCGGAAAAAATGGAGCACCTCGATCTAGCGGGTTATCTGAGTAATGCACCCACAACGTGGAACAGTTTGGGCAACAGTTTCGAACAGCAAGGTAAGAGAGGAGGCGCAGATCAGTAGAATGAATGTCTAACTTTGGGTCAGCCCGAGTCCGCCCGAGTCTGTATGCTGAATGCCCTGCCATTATGGGTCTTTATTAATAAATTGCATAATTAAGCGGGCATGAATAATGCCGCAGTAGAGCAGATAAGATCGAGAGTTGCAGTTAAATGGAATTGGATGACAGACAGATGCAGTGGCAGAAGGCAGAAGGCAAAGACAGTGCCAGTGGTAGGGATAGGGATAGGGCACAGGAGAGAGAGTCTGTGCCTCTTTTTCTGCTCTGACAGATTGTCGCTTGGCTTCTTGGATTTAGTTTTGTTGTAGTCACAGCTGGAGATGGTTCTTCCACCCATGAAGATGCGCAAGTGGCAGGCACTGATGCTAAGTGGGGGGACTAAAAGACACAGCAGAAGAGGCGGCCAGACAATTAACTTATCGTTTTTCTGTATCTTTCAGATGCCATTTACTTGTCGAACTCCCGGCAAATGCTGGAGCCCATCATGGAGGAGACCAGCGAGGATGAGGAGCATGCACAAAACAGTTGGAATGGCTACCACGAGCAGCAGCAGCATCGGGGCTCCACTGGAAATTGCGGGGGTGGTGGCTTCTGGAGCTCCACAGAGTCTGAAACCGGTTCCGTAATACGCATTGAAGTGTCAAAAGGTAAGCAAAATGCCTGAACAAATCATTCAGAGCCCGGAGTAATCATTTCAAACTCATTGCAGATATCGATGCCATTTCGGAGAGAGACTTTGCCTGCCCTCCCAAGCGTCCCAGACGCTGCCAGGAGCCCGAGCAGCCACACAGTCTGGAGGATGGTGTGCAAATGCGACTGCATCGCCGCTACGATGCCGAATCGCACAACAGTTTGGAGCGATTCCTGGCCCTGGAGGCCTGTGCCCGGGATAGCTATGGCAGTCAGGGCCAGAGGAGCAGCACAGGCAGTCGTCGTGGCGGAATCTTTGATGATTATTACTCCGACAATGATTCGTTTCACTCGCTGTCGCGCAGCTCCTCGTTGGTGCAATTTGAGTCGCTGGAGCGGCAGCTGACGCTACAGGAGCAACACCAGAGCATGAACAGCCTGGGCAACAGTTCGCCCTCGCTCTTCAACTGCGACATGGGAGGAGCCAGTGCCAGCGATAGCAATCCCGAGAGCAGGCGTGGATCCGCCACCTCGCTGTCGCTGATGAAGCGCTACGAATCCAGCGACGGGCGACTGCATCAGACGTACTTTGAGCTGAACAAACTGAACTTTGAGGAGCAGCAGCGGGAGCTGTTTGCAAAGAACCTCCTCCAGGCGGAAATAAAATCTGATTCCGAGTCGAGCACCAGCTCCTCAAGCGACAGCAGCGGCCACAGCCTGCTGAGCTCCTGCCAGGGCAGCGGAGTGGCGAGTGGCAAGCAGGATGGGGCCGCCTCGCGGCGTATACCGCTCAACTCGGCGGAGAATCTCTCCGAGGATTCCGGCTACTGTGAGCCGAGCACATTGCGACGCGAGAAATCTAAATCCATACCAAAGAATTTCGACAAGCTGTGCGAGGAGGAGGAGGAGCTGCTGCTGGAGGAGTCTGCAACCGTCGTGCCACATTCCAAAAACTCCAATGGCGGACATGATTTGTGTCAGACGAAAATAGTGCAGACGATGGAGACTACAACAACGCCACCAGCAGCAGCAGCATCGGCAGTAGCAATGTCTATGCCCATGCCCATGCCCATGCCTCTCTCTCCGTCCGAGTCTATTAATAGCAGCACGGAGAGAGCATCATCAGCATCAGCATCGCCACTGCCATCGCCCAGTGGATCATCGGCAGCCTCATCGTCGTCCGCCGCCTCGTTCACTTGGCTGCGCAACAGTTTGCCCGACATACGCGAGCCGCGAGGTTCATCGTCATCGCCAACGTCCGCCAACAGTCGCCAGCGCCACATCAACGCCTCCATTGATCCCTCGTCGACGTCGTCGTCGTCGTCGTCGTCCAAGTGTTTCCCAGAGGATAACGATTTACACGGCTACGTGCTGGCCAGTAGCGGAAATCCACGTTGCAGTGGGAGTAGCCGCAGCAGCAGCAGCTCCTCCTCCTCCGCAGACTGCTCCCCGGTCCTTGGGGCCACTTCCCTGCCCAACGAGCTGCAGCAATTGGGACGCCGCCGAGCGCGAACGCGCCACAATCGTCCAGCGACACGGAACTGCCACAGCAACAGCAGCGGTGGCAATAGCTCCAGCGAGGAATACGACTTGGAGGAGGAAGAGCGTCGCGACGACTTCTTCCTGGACTTTTGTCAGCTGCCAAGGATACGCAGGAGCTGCAGCTGGAACGTGGGCAAGAGAGGACTCGGAGGAGGGGCCGCCTCTTCTGCTGCTGCAGCATCCTCCGGCGCGGGTTACATGAATGCCAGCTACCAGAATTTAACACTTTTGGATTACACAGACACTCAGCCAGAGGCGGAGGATCTGCAGAGGAACTCTAAGCGAAGTCTAGCCACAGCGGATCCCCTGGAGAGCCAACCCCTGGCAATGTCTGATAGGAGCAGTCAACCCTTGGAAATGTCCAACCGGAGCAGTCTGTCCGGCGGGGAGTACGAACAGATCATCTGCAAAGGCAACTTTTTGTTGGATGAATTAAGCAAAATCTACGACAAGAATGTGTCCATTCTGAATGACAGACCAGCAACAGCAACAGCAGGAGCAGTGGATCAGGTGGATTCCTGCCAAAAATTGGAGGAGCCAGAAGAACCCCCCCAGGTGCAGCATGTCCAACTGACGATTAGGAAGCCACCGCCACGCCAGAAGAGAGTCAGTGCAGAGGCCAATCCCACGTCCACACCCACACCCGCACCCACACAGAGACCCAATCTGCCTCCTGCTGCTGTGCTGAGCTTTTCGAGTTTCGGCAAGACCTTCGATCAGGATCCCACAAATCTACGCACCTCCTATGCCCAGTCGCTGGAGCAGTGCAATTTCGATGCCCAGGAAGTGAGCCCCACGAAGGTGCCGCCACCCAGGGCGCTGCCCAAGAGGCGCTTCCAGTCGCAAGCGGCGGCGGCCAAGCAAAAGAACCTCGTCAGCAGCACACCCAATCTCTCGGCGTACGACAACAGCAATGGGGAGACGGAGGATGACATCTATGTGAGCAGTGCCCACACATCAATGCACCAGTTGCCACAGTCGGCGAATCAGCCCAAACCTTTGGGCATACTCCTGCCTGCCGGCTCACGGAACTCGTTCAGCAAGGAGGTGAGCTTCTGTCCAGTAGTCAGCAAGTACTGCTGGCAGGAGCAGTCGTCGGAGGAGCCGCCGGAGGATCCAGGACAGGGCAGCGACACTCCCGGCCACTCTGACGACGATGATGAGCTAATGGATAATGTGGACGCCACTGTAATGCACAATACCAAAGAGAATGAGAACATAGCGGCGCGCTACAACCAAGAGCAGCAGAAAAGAGAAGCACAGCCGGAAGAGAGCGTAGTGGTCGAAGTGAGCATCGAGGTGGAAGAGCGCGAAACAGTCGAAGAGCGGGCAACAGCAGAAGAGAGGTTAGCCACGATCGCAACCGCAGAGAGCGAGGCCGAAGAGAGCGATGACAACAACGAAAACATCGCAAACATCGCAGCCGTAGCCGCTGCCGCTGCCGCTGCCGCTGGCGTAGCCGAACTCGATTCGGAGCCCCGACACGAGCCCGTTTCAAGCACAGCATTCATTCTCGAACAAACACGCGTAGCGCAACCATCGCAATCGACACCGTTATCGACATCGACATTGCCATCGCCTTCGCACTCTTTGCCGTTCTCCGCCAGTCGTGATACCGCGCCCCCTCTGCGTCCCCTAAGCCTACATCTACCGATCCTTAGTGAACCGCCCACCAACCGCGCCCACCACATACTCTACGCCTCCCAGCAGCTGCTGCAGCGCTACGACGAGGAGGAGCCACACGAGCGCGAGGATCGCCGCCAAATGGCACCCGCCGCCAGTGGTTCAGTGGAGTCGCCCACACAGCAAAAGGGTGGAAAGTCGCCAGGAAAAACAGACGACAAGCACCCGAGCTCCAAGAGTTTCCTCTCCAGATTCGCCAATGGCCTGCGCTTCTCCTTGAGGCGCAAAAAGAAGCAGCAACAGCAGCAGCAGCAACTGGAACATAAGCCTCCGTTAACAAAGGCAGCACCCGTGAAGGCCACCAAACAACAGAGCAATGGAAAGTCAGCAGACTTTATACACATACCCCTGAAGCCGCCAAGGAGTGCGACATCCAATGCCCAGACGCTGGACGACAGCAATGCCTCGGAGGCCAGTACAGCGAGTGTGCACAGTGGCTCGACTCTGGCTAAGACATCCACATTGCAGAAGGTGGTGACCGGTAAGCCACCGCTGCCCAAACAGCCACCCAGATTGACGCATGCGCCTCCGCCAATGGTGCCACAAATGGTAGCAAGTGCTACCCATGCCTCGGAGGCTTTGTTGTGCGCCGAACGGGAACAGTATCGCGAATTTGCGGACCAGTTGTCGGCGGGCATGCAAGCGGCGAGGATGCGGGACACCGAGTCGCCCTCGCGGGCCACCGTTGCCCAAAAGACGCAAATGTTCAATCAGCTGGTCGCTGGAGCCGGTCCCGGTGCCGGAACGCGCCCAACAATAGTCACTGCCGTACCCGTGCAAGTATCCCCCGTAATGGATGAGGATGATGGATCCGGTAAAATGGGCCTGATTGAGACGAATCTGGACACCCACGAGACGGTCATCTCGGGCAAAACACGCTCCCTGATGGACATCACCTGCAATCCATTGAGCCAGCCCCACAAGAGGTATCTGGTGAAGCGTCTGAATGTGACCAGTGCCGCCTACGATGTGGATGTGGACGATGACCTTCTCGATGGGGATGTGGTAGTCAATGGACACCGCATCAAATCCTCGCCAGCTGCAGGCGGCGTACAGATAGCATCCGTTAGGAGGCCGCACAAGAGCATGGAGTTTCTGTTGGATAAAGAGAATCAAAGGAATGTTTTGGTAAGTACCACAGCCACTCCCACTGCCCCTCTTCCACCCTTATATTTTTTTGGGGGCTGTTGGCAAACTATTTCGTTGTCACATTCGTAGTTTTTATGCCTTTTGTCTGGCACTCCAGCCAGCAGCAGCAGCATTATCAACCCTTAATGGTTGGTGTAGCACGTATTTGGGGCATGCCGCTCCCATCTTTTGGGTGGGAAATCTGTTGTTTTGTGAAGAGGTTTATCAGCTAGAAGCAGACTTTTGCTGTTAAACGTTCCATTCGATGGTGTAAATTATTTCAATCATGCAAATATTTGAAATTTCGAATTTCTATGAGTGCTTATTAATATTGGTGAAATTGTAACTAAAAAACAAAAACAACGTCATCCAATTTTTAATTTTGATTAGATAATGTCTTACAAAGAAAAACAAGACCTCCTTCATTTCTTGTTTGATTTTTTGTGTTCGTTTAATCGATTAAGGGCTAAAATCGGTTTGATTAGATAAATATTTGTTTTGGAATTGATTCCAAATAGGAATAGTGTACGGTGTGTTTTTTTTTATCAATTACCCCTGTGGAATCAGAACTTCCATTCCCATCAGAGCACTTCCAATTCGTTGATTCTTCCTTTGGTTTGCTTTTGCCCCCGATTACTGCTGTCATTATGTGTTTTCCTTTCTGTTTTTCCTCGTCTTTTTTTGTACTCTGTGCAAAAGGCACGAACAAATTATGCAAACGATGCAATCTTTCTCGTGAAGCGCACTGCTGCTGCTCCCAAAGTTTGTTCCCGTTTCCGCTCGACAGGCGAGAACGGGCGACTTTGATCTTGTCTTTCGGGGGCATTATGGATGTTAATTGATTTGAGCGGAGAGAGAGGTGCAGAACCAACCAACACCCCCATCGAAAATGCTCAATGAACTGTGACAACTTTAATACGAGTTCCTCGAACATTTCCTCACGCTTTTCTTGGTTTTCCGTCTTTGCGCCTTCCATTTTCGATAGAAGAATACCCTTTATCCTTTATCCTTTCAACCTCTGTCCAAGGCTTAGCGCTGACTGAGGTTTAAAGAGGTTTATTGACTCTCGTGACTTTATTCTTTAATTTTGATTTATTAGGCGACAAATTCCATTCCCCACAGTGCATGATTGCCTGCATGCCTGCCTTCATTCCCCCTTCCCTCCATAATCCTTGAACGCATAAATCAATGGGTGATGTTGTTTTTCTCGCCTCTCAGCCGCAGCCTCAGTCTCAGTCTCACATTTTCCTCAGTTTTCTTGGGCGCTTGGTGCGTTTTTTATGGCTCCTACAAATTACTTGCTCGATGATGATGCCCCGGCGATGCCGCTGCCTGCCACAGAGACAATGACCACTTGACCTTAGTTTTCGTAATATCCGTGTATGTGTGTGTTTGTGGTTGTGTGTGTGAATGCCCCCGAGTCGTGTCCGTGCCCCACCGCGCCCTTATGCTTCTGGATGGCCTTTGTTTTCTGCGGGCTCTCACATTTTCCCTGCCTGTTTTTCTCTCTCTTTCTCATTACGTTAATTGAGTCGATGTAGAACGATGGGCGTTGAGGCATTGGGGCGATGGCTTTTGTTTAATAACGAGTGAAAAAGCCCTACAGTTTTCGGTCAAACCGTCGGGTTTCTTTTACTTTTGCGGATAGTAAGTCCGGATGGGCTTGGGGTGGTGGTTGGGTGATGGGTGGTAGACCCAATTAACTCGCTGTTTACTTTGCACTTTTTTGCTCGGCTCTGACCCATTAACATCATGGCTTAAAGAGCAGTTTTGGCTAACACCGTGTTATCATTTTTTTCTGGGGGCATGGAGTCTGCGCATGTTGTGTTTCATTTGTCTTTAATTATAGTTTCAATTTAAAGTTTGCCTTAGCCTTGGCAAAGTCCAAAAGATGGAAATTATTGATGCACAAAATTATTATAGAGTTGGGACCCGGAATCCATTCATCCACTTTTTATTTTGTATCATTTTCGATTATTCAAAATGGTTATTCATCAGTCAACATTTTTCCTGAAAAAGATAAAGAATCAGAAGATATATGGTGCAATATTTAATGAGGAAAATTTCTCTAATATAATTATACCTATATCTTTTTTTTGTATACCTTGGAAAAATCTCAAATTTAATTATATTTTTTGTTGACGGCGTATATAAAAGGCTGAAATATTTGGTGTGCTTTTTATGATGGCCCATGTCTGCTAGCATTTTGTATGTAAGATACACATCTATGTTGAGCTTTTCGTTCAAGTTTTCCACTCACGTACTCTGATATTTTGTTGTAGAAATCGCCTGTTCGTGATTAATAAATATAATGAAATATGTCATATAATAAACAAAACCCTTAGGGGTCTCCAAAGGTTTTGTAATGGAAAATGTAGAAATTGTCAATAACAGAAGTTTTTTAAAAAGTAAAAGTTGGTTGCAAATACAAAACAAAATGGGTGTGGTGTGGTACAATATGCCATGCAATTTTTGAGTGGATAAATTCATGTGAATTATGACAGCCACGAAGGGCATTCAAATCTCGACTTAACCAAACTTTTATATCTGTACCTCTTCCACTTTTTTCTGTTTGCCTTGCCTTGTAAAACAGAAACAGAAAAACTGTTAAGCTGCGCCTTCTTTTTTTCTTCTTTTGTGCTGCTTCTCTTCTTAGTTTTCTTCGAATTCGAGTTGGTCTTGGACTTGGACTACTCCTACGTCTGTCTGTCCTACGTCCCCACTTAATGCCAAAACTTTCGCCTTGATTTCCGCTCAAATCCAAAAACTATTCCAATCCCATGGAAATTGAGCTCACTTCTCGAGCTCTGTCTGCTGTCTGCTGTCTGCTGCCTGCTCTTGCGGAAATTTGTCGCTGCTGCGCCCGAGAGTTGTCATGTGAATAATAATACTAAAAAAATAATTACGTGAGCGAGTACAAGAAAAAGAAAGCAGAGCTAAAGAAAGAAATGATGATGATGGTGTGGCTATGGTGGTGGGGATTCCTGGGTGGCCCCCTGCTCACAACAAATAAATTTTAATTAAAATTTTCATTATTTTCACATGTAATGTAAACAAATTCAATGTCTGTCTGTTCTTCCGATAAGAACAAGAGTCCCGGAGAACACCAGAACAGCAGATTGTGTGTGTTGTCTCCCTGCTGGTAATCCTTCTCTCTCTGTCTGTGGATGAACCCAGGAGGGAAGGCAAGTGTGTCACTCGCTGTGGAGAAAAGCTTACATCTGGTACCTAGAACTTATTGTTGATGGAAGAGGGTATATTGTGGCTAAGAAGAAACATGTAGCTTGTAGAAAGAAAAAAATAGTTGGTTTTTGGTATTCCGTATTTAGGAATAATTCCAAGTAGAGTACTGGTTTCATATGTTACTCTTCCAAAATAGATACCCCATAGGGTATCCCATAGTCTATGCACGCATGGCGAAGGTGCTCTTACACGACATTCCTTTTGGTCACTCCGCCTAAAAAAAGAAAGCATAAAAGCAACAACTACTAAAGCGTAAACCAACAAACTACGTCTCTATTTATTTGCTTATCTTTTCTTGTACAATTTTCATGTTTTGCTGATAAGAAACACCGAACACCGATGACACCAGGCGACATTACTAATACTAATGCTAAGGTTCAAACTAGCGGTGCTTCTACGTCACCCTCTCTTTCTCTACCTCTCTCTCTCTGTCTGTCTGTCTTGTCTCCTTCTCCACCGCCCTTTACTCACTCACAAAAATAGTTTGCTAATGTGCCTCAAAAAAACGGTTCTTTATTTCTATTGTTTTTGTGCGTGTGGATTTGTTGTTCTCTGTGCTCCTCAAATATTTGTGTGTTGTTTTAATTCTTGATTCTTATTCAGTTTATGGGCCGCGGACGTTGTAAAAGCTGAAGATGGAGGCGAAAGCATACATAGGTAATGAGTGGGGACCGCTTGGAGGTGTGCCAAAATTAAAATAAAGAGGAGAGAAGCTTTACAAGGAAAACAATCTGAAGAGTTTACTTAACAGAACTAATTGAATTATCTACTGCATTTTCTCTGTATGTTCTTAATCGATTACTCCAGCTCAAAGTACATCAATAGAAGGTGCAGCATTGCAAATGAGCACGCACAAGCCAGATCGACTGTAACGTAAGCCTCACCTGTATCTGCGTATGCCTAACCGTGTGTAAATACACCCTCTTCAGAGGCATTCTGAAGGTAGCGCAGCAGTTCTGTTATACCTGGTTTCTGTTACTAATGCAAAGGAATCTGTGCGCATACACACCCTTAACAGAGTACTAGAGTGATTGCTGCAAATGTAATCTTCCAACAGAGCTCTTAAGATTGCCCAGGTTATGTTATCTGCGTAGTCTCTCTTCTGCTGCTGCTACTATTACAACTCTCTTGCGATCTGGCGCTCTCTTTGATTTACACTCTCGGCCAGTTTCGATGTTTTCGTGGTTTTACCTGTTTCACTATTGCTTATCTCTATAGATGGACGGTTTTTGAGGAACCGCCTAAACAATTTCTTTGCCATATTGGTAGCAATTTGTTTTGCTTGAACGATTGAACCTTCCCCCTCTCCCTTCCTTTGCTTTTTCCCCTTCTCTATTCGAAGTTGTCAAAGAAAATTGTCTACAGGAAAAATACCTGGAAAATGTAACCTGCTTGCGGAAAGAGCCAAATTGTAAAATATTTGGTACAAGAAATACTTTGAAACCGCTTTCTAATGGTAGTTTCAAAGTCTCAGCAGAGTAAATTAATTAAAATAGTTGGGCATTTAGTGGATTGTCGGATTGTTAAATTGTTGGATTGTCGGGGGCTCTGAGATCACTGATCAGGCATTTCCATTGTCCCTGAGCGACTGTAATTTATTCAAATTAAAACGGAATTTTGACTTCCATTTAAGGCAGACACTCGCTTCACGCAACATTGAGCGTGCTGGTATGACTTTTTACCCCGTAACACTGGCCTCTTGCGATATTAGACCAGGCCTCCCGCAATACTTCGCGCCTCCCACACACGCCTCTCGC